TTCTTCTTCTTCTTCTTCTTCTTCTTCTTCTTCTTCTTCTTCTTCTTCTTCTTCTTCTTCTTCTTCTTCTTCTTCTCTTTCAGGTCTCCTGGGCTAGCCTCACCTTCCCCTCCAATCTCACCTCTGCTGAGAGCCAAGTGCTGTTGTCTCTATTAGGTGGTGTTGGGTAGACTCTGACTCAGCTGCCCTCTGCACAGCCCTGGACTGTGCTCACAACCACTTCTGTGTTGATCCACTATGTTGATCCACCTGGGAGCCCAGCACATGGTCCTACACGCAAGCACTTCACTCTTCCTTACTGCTTCCACCCATCCCTGGCTCCCCACTCTCCGGAGGCAAAGCTTAGGCTCCTCCATCATCCCTCCCCCTCATTTACTCAAATGATGCAAAAGGAGAGGGGAAAGGGTCAGTGCAAACCAATCCTGCCCTCTGACTGGACAACTGGATCCTCTCGGTGGACAACACAGATGTTGGGTGCCCTTGGTGGACATTCCAGCACGTGGACCATAACCTCCATCTCCCCCTATGCTGTGCAGACCACCACTAATGGGACATACATCATGGCCGGCCAACGCTAGGGGCCATGGGGTAGGAAGGAGGTGATGGCCAACTGCTAGATGGAGCTCTGTGGAGAGAGTCCAGGGAACAGGGACTCTGTGGGAACAGGGATGCCTACTGCTCTGCTAGGCAGCCCGCTGGTCACATGGGGGCAGCCAGGACAGCAAGCACGAAAGTGGGGTAAGGGAGCACCTCCAATCTAGCCGCCCCGCACAGTCACCCACAGCTGCACCACAACCTCAACACGTGAAACCCTCCACCTTTCGGCCTAGGGATGCAGAGGAAACAGGGTCCTCTTCTTGCTGCCTCAGCCCCCAACACTGGGCTGGGTCCCCCTCCACTGACCTCTCTGGGGGGAAGGCTCCTGACCACCTCAGCAGGGTCAGCCCCACGGTGTCCCGGCAGTGTGCTGGGTCACCAGAGTCACCCTGAGGAGCAGCATGTTCTCAAGTGCCTGAAATAGTCTGCGTCTGGCCCTCCCAGTGAGGTACGTGTGGACAGGCTGTCCCCACGGTGAACAGGGGGCTTCGGGTGGACTCCGCAGTGGCCCTGGGTGATGCTAGCGTGACCAGAGCCATCTGAGGTCTCTGTAGAGCCAGCCAGAGGGGCTCCCAGGGGTTGGGTGTCAGAGGGTGTCTGGGCTCCAACCCCCTTTGATCTGGGGACCTGGAGTGGGGAGCCCTCACCCAGTCCTTCCTGCTGGTCTGGCTCCCTGGGCAGATGGGGGTGTGTCCTGAGCAGCAACAGCGCTGGAGGCTGAGCCCAAGAGCAAGCAGCTCCACATGCTAGTGGGTCAATAGACAGCGTGTTTGCCTTGGTCTCACCTCAGCGGCCATGGGAACGGCCTCCTGCGGACTTTAGAGGCTGGGTGTGACCCGTGGGGGCGTGCGCCCCAAGTGGGCATCCCCCGGGAGGGTCTCAGCGCGCGGCCAGTGGTTCCCTGGCCAGGCCGTGGGCGGCCCGGACAGGGTGCTGCGTGGATAAGGTATTAACAGTCCTGGGGACTCGCCCCTGGGATTTGCTGACTCTCTCTTTCAGCCCAGGTGCTGAAGTGAGGTGCCAAAGGTTCTCTATAAAAAGCCGGGGCACCGGGTGGCGGCCACTTGCCCGAGCTCACTGCTGACTGCTGACTGCTGACTGCTGACTGCTGACTGCCTGCGTGCCTGCGTGCCCTGCCAGAGACCACCATGGTGAAGCTGGTGCTGCCCAACCCGGGCTTGGAGGAGCGCATCCCGTCCCTGGGGGAGCTGGACACCATCGAGGCCGCTGAGGCCTCGTCCAGGCCCAAGTGGGACAACAAGGCGCAGTACATGCTCACCTGCGTGGGCTTCTGCGTGGGCCTGGGCAACGTGTGGCGCTTCCCCTACCTCTGCCAGAGCCACGGAGGAGGTAAGGTGGGCTCGCGCAGGAGAGAAGAGAGACCCTGTCCACAGGGAGTGGGGTGCAGGGGCACAGGTCACGCAGCGCAGGGAAAAGGCAGACCCGAGGGTCCATAAGGAGAAGTGGGGAGCAGGCTATGCAGGGTGAGGGAAGGGCACATTCTGTCCATGGGGAAATGGGGACATGGGACCAGATCACACAGTGCAGGATGGCAGGCTTGATTTATGGGGAGAAGGGGGACGAAGGAGACAGATATGCTTGGTAAACCCAGTCCATGGGAGAGGGGATCCACAGCGTCAATAGGGAAAGTCAGAACCCCAAGGGCCATGGAGAAGGGAAGGAAGAGCCCAGAGTCCATGGGGAAAGGAGGTGGATTCCAAGGTCTTTGGGGAGCGGTGAACAGACCCCAGAGTCCATGGGGCAGGGGTTGGGTCCCAGGGTCCTTGAGGAGAGGTGAGCAGACCCCAGAGTCCATGGGGAAAGAGGGTGTCCTGGGGTCCTTGGGGAGAGGTGAGCTGACCCCAGGGTCTA